ACTGTATGATCTCACTTACATGTGGAACCTAAAAAAAAGACAAACTCATATACACAGAGAACAGATCTGGTGATTGCCAGAGACAGTGGGTGGAAGGTTGGCAAAATGGGTAAAGAGGATCAAAAAGTACAAATTTCCAATTATAACATATGCAAGTCATGAGGACGTAATGTACAGCATGGTGACTATAGTTAGTAACACTGCATTGCATATTTGAAAGTTGCTGAGAAAATCCTAAAAGTTCTCATCATAAGAAAAAAATACATTTGTAACTGTATGTTGAAGGATGTTAAAATAGATGTATTATGGTGATCCCTTCTCAATGTACACAAATATTGAATCATTATGCTGTACACCCAAAACCAATATAATGTTACATGTCAATTATACTAATAGAAAAATTTAGTATCAATAAAAATATTTTTTAACCCACAAAAATGCAGATTTCTGAGGTCCACCCCCTGCTGCACTGAATCACAAACTCCAGGGATCAAACTCAGGAATCTATATTCTAATAACATAATAGTACTACATATGCAAACTAAAGTTTGAGAACTACTCTTCTAAGTATCTTCTTTTTAATACAGAGAGGCTTCATGCGGTCAAATCCATCAGTGAAACCATGCCCAAAAACCAAGGCTTCCAAGTTGATCCTACCTACTCCCAACCCCAGGTGACTGCATTCAACCCACCAGTATGACTGCAAACAATTAACTTTTAAAAAATAATTTAAGAAACTCATTTTTTTCCTAAACACAAATGTTCTGGCCCAACTCCTGGGATTGGTTCCTAACCCTGCACAAAAAATGTTTGTAAATTACAACCTTGCTTTGTCGCATACTCTTTATTTTCTTTATATTCTCTTTATTTATGAAAACTGCTCATTCTGCAACACTTTAGTAAGCTAAGGGTTTACTCAAGTTAAGCATGCTGAGGGCATGCCTGCCAGGCCGGGGTTGAAGTGCTGATACAGTCACTTACCACAGGGTAAGCAGGACAAATGGCTAACTCCCTCTGAATCCCGTGACCTTGTCTATAAAACAGGGATCCTAACAGCAGTGCCTACTTGATCTGGTGGTAAGGAACAAGCAAAGCATGCAAAATGTTAAGCAAGGCACCCACATACACAGTAAGAACACAGGGGCAACTACTATGACCACACTGTTACTGTTATGGTCCTCTCCTCACCCTATCATCATTATTATTATTGTCACTGTTATTTCCTCACCAATGCCATGCTTTGGTTAAGGATCTTATCTACTCCCCTGCCTGTCAGCTTCCAGAGGACTGCTGCACATTGCTTCTAACACCCTGCAAGCCCCCGCCTAACCCTCCTTTTTCACCTTGTTCTCTACACTGTCGCCTGTAGTATTTTCTATCAAAAGGGACAGCATGCTTAGATCACCCTCTACCTTGTCTCTGCCAAGATACAGGTGCCCAACTGGACCCAGAAGCAGGCCTTAAATTAGGCTGAGAAGCCTCAGCTCCTTTCACACTTTCCTTTTTCAAGATCATCAGCATGACAAGGTCCATGAGATGAGGGGTGGTCCAGGGACCTTCCTTGTGGGGTCTACAGAGAAGCCCACATTAAGAAGGTGGTATGGAGCATCTGTAGCCAGGAACTCTGGAGCAGAGAAGAATACCAGCTCCACTGCTCACCAGCTGTGTGACCTGGAGCAAGTCACAACCACTTGGAGCCTCCATGCAATCATCTACAAAGGGCATTAATGTTAGTACCTATCTCACAGGTCATCATGAAAATCAACAGAGACACTACTTTAACATCATGCCCAACATGTTCAGCATGAGACTTTCCCTTAATGTTATTTTGAATTTTATTTCTTCTTCTCTGAAAAGCTGAAGAGCTTGGGTGGAAGAACTCCAAACACATCAGGGATCAGCATTTGATACAACCTTGCACAATTAATAAAGGTGGGGAGGAAAGCCATCACATCTTGCCTGAACCACTCAATCATCCCCCCTTCCAAACTGACCGTCCCACCAACCTTCACTTTGGACTTACCCTCATCCTAACCCACACTGCATTTGGATAACTCCTATATCCCCACCACCATCCAAAATGTCAAGGAGGTCAAGGCCCACACCATTTTCAATCTACCTTTCCAGCTTGAATTCCCAAAATATCCCTCCACCCTCAACCCCCTTCTATTCCTTTATGAAGCCTTCTATGAGTCAATCTCTCTGAATCTGTTACTCCTTCCTCTCTGGTCTTATTATGCACTGCTTTTATCTCTAATGATCTGGTTCCATCTGCCTGTTTCACTAAATGCAAAAGGCAGCATTTTTTAATTAATTAATAAGTCTGCTGATAAATAAATGATTGAACAAATGACTGAGTACATGTTCCCCAGTCTATTCTGAAACCTAAGTCCACTGAGCATTGCTCTGCTCTCCACTCTCCAATGGCTCCCACCTCACTTAGAGGAAGAGCCCATGGTCTCCAAGGCCCTATGTAATCTGACTCCCCAATGCCCCACAGGGTCTCAGGCCTTTCCACCTTCCCCTTTCTCTCCTGCCTAGAACAGGGGTGAGCAAACTATTTCTGGAGAAGGCCATATACTAAATATTTTTGGCTTTGCAGGTTATACTGTCTCTGTTACAACTACTCAACTCCTCATTGTGGTGCAAGACAAAAAGCAACCACAGACAACATGTAATGGGTGTGGACCTCAAGCTATAGTTTTCCAAGCCATGGCTTAGCACATAGTAGGTGCTCCAAAAGTATTTCCCGAATGAATGAATCAATGAATCGATAAACTATATCCCATGAAGGCCATGCAGAGCCACTAACAACACAGGTCCCCAGATAGACTCACACACCCAGGGCTGACGACTTGAGAGCCAGCCTCTCCTAGTCACCTCCAGCACCACTTCCCAGCCCTTGCCTCCTCTAAACCCCAACCTCTGGTGACCCTCCTCCCAGGACTGCCCCTGGAGGCACTGAGGCCACCAGCAGCCTTGAGAGGTCTCTGGATGGGGAAGTGTCAGCAAAGCAGATGCAACTCCCAAGACACAATTTTAATGCAAATGTCCTCAGTAATAAAACAGGTGGAAATTGAAAAACATAAAATAGATGATATTGGAGCCAAATTGTGTCTAAATAGACCAGAGCTGAAGTTTTCCATAAGGTGTCAATGAGTCTTTAACATGCAAATGAGTTGCTTCCCTCTGGGTAGCTTAAAAGATCCTGTCAGCCGTGAAATATGACTGTGGTTGAAAAACACCTTTCATTATTAAACCCTTTCCTAATATATCACCTGTCCTGTTCTGTTTGACTTTATGACTTTCCCCTGAGTTCTCTCTCATAAGAGCACACACTTTCAGGGAGGTAGGGGAAGGCCTGAGGTCACCAAGACCCTAAAACCTAATCATTAGATAAAAATATTAGCAACAACTAACCTCTGCAAAGCCCTTTGCGCTCATTATCTCATTAGATATTTCACACAACCCAGTGAGATGGGCAAATATTATTACCATCCCCAGACAGAAAAAAGGAAACCAAGGAGCAGAAAGGGTGGCTGCTTTGCTCCAGGTGGCTCAGCTAGTAAAGGGCAGAGTAGGAGCTTGGGCCCTTCTCTTTATAGAGTACATGACCTCCTTGACAGGTATTCCCAGAATCTCCATTCACAAGTTCTTACCGCTGTTCACATGATTCGCATCAGTAGTAACCGCATCAGTCATTCTGGGCTTGGACTATGATTTCTGACCCTCTACCAGCCCCCAACAATGCCAGGCATGTGGAAGACACTGCTTGGAGCTCTGGAAATCCACTACTTGTCACAATATCAAGTAAAGCACCTCATTGAAACAACCAATTACAATCTATGAAACATTTAAGAGTACTGTTACTGTCAAATCTACAAGAATGAAATCCATCTCACTAGACCACAGGAACACCCCAGCAGGTCATGAAACAAGACAACAGGACAGTATGGCAGTTCTACAAAACGGAAGTTGGTGGTCACATGACAGGTCCATTCCCTGGACAGAACTAAATGGGGCTCTAAACCCTTACTGTTCCTGGGCCAGGAAGCAGCTAGGCCTTTTCACTTACTATCCACCTGCAGCCCAATGTCCATGCCACATTCTGGGACAAGAAGCCTGGAATCACCTCCCCCTGCTTGGTATATAGGTGAAAATAGGCACAGAGGAAAGGTCCTAGAAGTTCTGATTTCATTAATCCTAGGAAGTGACCACAGCTTCCTGCCATTTCCTAGAGAAACTATTAGGTAAATAAGCATTATTTCTTCTGGTCTGCTCCCAAGACTGGAAAAGACCCAACAATACCCTCGGAGATAGAGAGATTAGGTTTTCGAGGTAAGCTGGTTACTGATGTGGATAAAAAGCAAACAAAGTGATGATACCGTCATGTCTCGAGACTGGAGAGATGCTGAGTCTATGCCAGGGACCACCTAGTTGGCCTGAGCAGGTTTACAATCTGCCAAAGGTAATGTTTGACGCCCAAAAGGTAGTCAAATCAATGTTAATTAAATAAAGAGTCCCTGACTAATGCCAAGGTCCCAGAGTAGACAGGGGAAACACATGAAAATCTGTATATCAAGTAATCTGGGGGGGAATTAACAGTGTTCAAAGTAATATGCACGTGTTTACTAACTACAAAAGTTAAACCGGCAAACAAGGACAGAAAGGCCCATAACCAAGTGTGAAGAGTTAGTGCTTTAAGTTCATGGGAATTTTTTCCTAAAAACCGTAGTATTCAGAAGTATGTCCCCAGACCTACTGAATCAGAAACTTTGGGAATGGGGTCCAGCATTCTGTGTTTTGTAACAAGCCCTCCGGGTGATTCTTACTTTTGAGAACCACTGCATAAGAAAAGACACAGATAAAATCTAATTCACTTTTAACTTGGCAAATATTTCTTAAGTACCCACAAAATGGCAAGCATCATGGAGCTGGATCGATAAATACTTGTTGAACTGAATGACTTCCTGGTTAATATAAAGTAAATGACACTTAACCTGGGGAGAGGGCTGTATCTAGGTGTCTTCTAAAGGCTGCTCTCCATACCCGGGCTGTCATCAGCACACGTTTAGGAAGGGCCCTGCGAGGCACTGGAGATAAGGAGCGCTCTGGAGCACTGGGCAGATACAGGCAGAAGGTGGGGTATCTGCGTCGCGCGCTGCTCACGTCCGGATCACTCTCCAGCCCCTGCCGCCTGCGACTCGGGGCCCAGAGGCCACCGTGGGGTGAGGACGTCTGGCTGAGCCACCAAACGTCCCCCCAGCTCAACTCTACCTACGCGCAGGACTGCGCCCCCGCAGAAGCTACTCCACACTTTCCCCGCTGGAGAACGAGGGGGCGAGTCTCCGCAGAAGGGGCGGGCACTGCCAGTCAGGCGAACCACGTGGCCGCGCGCCGGGCGTCAGGTGACAAGGTCACCGGCCAGTGGGGGCGGGGGAGAGGCTTCCTCCCGAGGACCTCAGTACAGGCGAGCACCAGGCTTGTCCACACTGGCTCCCCTGCGTGGCCCGTGCTGTGCAACCTTTGGCTCCGCGCGGGCCTCCGAGGGGCTGCCCCTACTCACCCCGAGGGAAGCAGAGCCGCAGAGCCCGGCTTCCCACCGCCTCCACGTCGGGGATTCCAAGGGAACCTTGCTGTCCACCACTCCCTGACCGCGCTCGGTTAAGCCGAGGCGCCGCGCGGCCTGCCGGGACTTGTAGTTCTTGATTCCCTAAGCAGGAGGACGCGGGTGGAAGATCCTCCGGGGCAGAGTCGGAGAGACTACAAACACTTTACCTGTCAAGTGGCCTCTTTTGCCAGGGCTGCGGACAGAGAATCTTCTTGAAAACTTGTTTTCCAAAGGCTTTACAAATAGGTCATAGATTCGTGTTCAGTGGAAGTTTTGGATTTTTAGAACAAGGAAATTTACTGACAACTGATGGACGTTAAGAATGCGCCTATAAACCTTAAGTTACCTTTGACCTCCACTCATTTGCTCATTGACCTCTGCTTATTAGAATATTTATGAGATGTAATCTGGGGACATTCAGCAGACATTCATTCATTCTACAAACATCCCTTGCACTACCCAATTCCAACCAAATTTCCAAAAGGATTTTTTCTGGACTTTCACAAGCTAACCTAAAAATTATATGCAAAAATAAAGAGCAAAACATAGTCAAAGTACTCTTGAAGACGACTAACATGTTTTGAGAAGTTTCCATATATCAACATTTATTATTAAGCTCTAACTATCAAGACCATGTGGTATTAATAGAGAGATAGGCAGAGGGGAAAATGGAACAGCCCAGAAAACCCAGAAACAGATCCAGGCATATATGGAATCTTGATAAATGACAGAATTGGGGTTATAAATCAATGGGGAGAGAAGGATTATTCATATGAGCTGGAACAACTATCTGTTGGGTATCTAACAGACTCCTAATTCACAAAACTAATTCCTTGTAGATTAAAGACTTTAAAGGAAAAAGCAAAATCAGAACTTATGAAAGAAAATAAAGGAAAACATCCTATGGTTTCAGGGTAGGGTTTATTAAATGCCGTAAGTACAAACTGTATAGAAAACTTTGATAAATTGGGCCACATTAAATTTAAGAACCTCTCTTCACCAGAAGGATAAAGACAAGCCACAAACTGGAGAAGACAATTGCAGCCCAGAGATAGTGTAGAGTTGCATAATACAGCCCCTGTCACCTCAAGTTTGCGCTGTATAGATGTTAAGACAGAAAATGAATAATTTCTAAGTGGTGTGAGAAGTGTCAGGATAGAAGTAGGAGCAAAGTAATTACAGGAAAACAAAGAAGGGAGCATTCATTTTGCCCAGGAGATTTTGAATGCTCCAAAAACTAAGAACTGGCTGTAGGCTGGGAATTAAAGGATGAATAAGGGCTCCCAAGAGAAGGGTGTTGGGGAGCAGCCCAAGCACAGGAAAAGTCATATTAAAAAGCATAAAGATGCAATAGAATACAGCAAAAGACATAAAGATACTGAAAGATGAAAAATTTTAAACCATAGACAAAAGAGTAAATATATTAAAAACTTAATGTGATTACTCCAGTTGGACCTTAAATTTAACTATGAAATTGTTACTAGCAGGGTAGCAGTTAATCCTGAGAAATGGGAATGGGGGAGATGGGATTAGAGTACTTTCAGTTTACACTCTATGCTCTTTTGTAATATTTGAATTTTTTATAATGAATGTGTATATAATTTATAATTAAAATGTAATTATTTAAAAATTTTTAATTTAGCTAACTTCCAGTTCAACATGGTATGCTAACTATAGTCTGAGGTCTGAGCCTCTTTAATTCTTAGAAAGCTCCCCCAGTGATTTTAATGGACAGCTTAGTGGAAAGGCTCTGAAGAGATGGTTCATGCAGTGGTCAGGTGGATTGAGAGCAGTGGTTCTTGGGCACATTAGAATCCTTTAACAACCTCCCTAGGCCACACCCCGGACTTCTTAAATCCATTTTCTAGGGGTGGACCCAAATATAAGTATTTTGTGGAGTCCCCAGAGATCTCAATGCACAGCCAAGGTTAAACACCACTGATTTACAGTCAAAGAATCTTGTTTGAATTATGTGACTTCAAGCACATTCTCTAATTTGGCAGAACTGTAGTTTCCTTCTTGATAAAATTTGGTTACCTTCTTGATGAAAGATATTAGGAATTATCTCCCCTACCTACCTCAGAGGTTCTCATGAGGATCAAGTGAGATGGTAGGTGTCCTTGGGAAACTGGCTATTACTGTGCAAATGTGTCCCATCACACTTAAAAGAAAATCCAAAACTTTACCCAACCCACCCAGCTCTGTCCAGCTGTTCCCACTCCCTCTGTCTCTAGCCTCATCTCCCACCCTTCTCTCATCTCTACTCACACCACTACAGCCAAACCAGCTTCCCTTCTGCTCCTCAAGCTGCGAAGCTGGATGCCTCCTTGAAGCGCTTACACTTAGTGTTCCCCTATAACTTCAAAGGTCTGCTCTGTCCCAGCAATCTGTTCTCTGTTCCATTGTCTCCTCTCCAGAGAGACCATCCCTGATTACCCTTATCTAACCAACACCATCCCTCCACATTCCCTGAGACACACCCTATCCCCTCACACTGTTTTATTTATTATAGTATGCATAAATGCTTGAAATTTTATCATGTTTGTTTAGATGGCTTCTATCTGTCTCCTCCACTAGAATATAAGCTCCATGAGAGCATAGATTTAGATCCACAGTGCCTAGAACAGTGCCTGACACACAGCAGGTACTAGGTGCTGAAGATGTAATGGTGCATAAAACAGGCAAAGTCCCTCCCTTGCGCACTATCTTTTGGCTGGGGTGGGAGAAGGGGAGACAGACAATAGACAAGCAAAGAAATAACAGGATAGTTGCATGATGTAATAAACCTTGTGAAAGAAAAAAGCACGAGGTGTGGAAAGAAAAAAAAAAGAGGAGTTAGAGACCAAAGATGGTGTCTTACTAGAATAGTCAGACAAGGCTGCTTTGAGGAAGATGCAACATGATGGGTAAGGAAATCAGTCATGGAAAAGATAAAGAAGCATGTTCCAAGTGAAGGGAAAAGCAAACGCAAAGGCCCAGGGGTAGGAAAGAGCTTGGCATGTTTGAAGAACAGAAGAAAACCAGTGTAACTGAAACAGAGAGAATGATGTGGGAGGAAGTAGGAGAGACAGGTAGGAGCTGAGCCACACAGGTCCTGAGAGAGCTCAGTGGTTTAGATTTTAGTCCACATGCACTAGGAAGCCACTGAAGGTTTTAAATTGAGATAGAATGACCAAAAATGCTAAATAGAAAATGACTGAGCAACCAGAGCCATAAAAGATGTTAAAACCACAGAACAACTAAAATATTTCAGAAACTGCCAGGGTCCTGCATTGCTGGAGCAGCAAGGCCTGTGGTTGGAAAAATCAAGTATTTAAAATGCTGTCCCAGAGAAGTTTTCATGCAGGATGCTGTGTTTCTTGTCCCACCAGAAGCGGACCATCTGGGAGAGATCATCACACACCCAACCAGAGGAAAACCAAGAGAAACCAAAGCTCAAAGTTCTTTCTTAAGGCAATGAGAAAAGATCACTTCAGGGAACATAATAAAGGAACTCTGTTCTGTGCAGGAAGGAGAAGCCTTAGGATCTGTAGTGAACCACAAAGCAGAATTGGATCCCCAAGGCATCCCAGAGGTGATCACCACCATGTGTGGGGGTCAAATCCACAGCATCAGAGGAAGAACAAGGTGGAGGGCCAAAGCTCGCATTTTAGGACTTGCGCTGGGCAGAGAATGATCTGGGTCCTGAGTTCTACTCAGGGACAGAACTTCAGGGTCCAGCTACCGAGAGGGCAATTTAGCATTTGCCAGAGAATTGGCAGGTCAGTCTATATGCCATACACATTTGTGTGCTAGAGTGGAAGAGCAGACAATCTGGTGGGAGAGAGAGAGCAAGGCCTGCTGGCTCTGCACACTTCTAGGTATCAATGAACATGGCATGGAAGCATGCTTGGCCTGCCCCATGAGGTGGTCAGTCTGGTCGGGACTTAATTGATGGAAGGCTAAAGGGATTTTTTTTATATACCTTGGAAGAAGTAAATCAAGGTAAGTTATATGGAATTAATTTCTAATCCAGGGATTGGAGGGACATGGAGAACAGGAATTTCTTAGTCTTTTTCTGACTGTCTGAAGAATCCCACAAAAGGCACAATACCTGGGCCACAAAGTTTTCTCTTCTTTTTCCAGCTTTATGGAGATATAGTTGACTTACCCTTCAGTTTTCTTATCTGTCATAGGGAGAGGAAAAAAATCCTTCTAAAAAATAGCTGATAGGAGAGATTCAAGATGGCGGCATGAGAGGTGAGACAGAGAACTCCTCCCAAAATCACAAATAGAATGAAAATATAGTTAATTAACACAACAAACCCTAAAACAGCAACAAGAAAGAATGCTGCACCAGACTGCACACAGACCTCACTGAACAGAGCAAACCTCAGGAAACAGGGTAACTTACGAAAGTCTTAATCCAGTGGTGGCAGGAGGAAGAGAAATGGAGCAGGGAGTGGGTGGAAGCCTGGGACTGCTGAACACCCAGCCCTGGAGCTCTCCTTTGTGAGAAGAAAACTATATTGTATGGTGTTCTGGACATTGGGGAGCTTGGACAAGCAGAGTGCTTGAGAGACTGAGATTCCAGCCATTTGTGGAGGATGGGATCCACATCTGGCTGCTCTATGTCAGAGGAAAGGCAGGTGGTCTGAGAGGCTTCCTAGAAGCAAGAGGGCTACTGAAGGGGTGGGGTGTGCACGGAGCTTGCTGCGCAGGGCAGGGGAGAGCAGGACAAGGTTGTCTGAGGGTGCTCTGCCCAGCTGGTTGGGAACTTTGGGGAGCTTCAGGAGCTCCATCCTCCTGGCTGCCTACTCAGCTCCAAGGCCACCCACAGTGATACGCAGCCTGCTGCGCCTTCCTCCTAGCCTGCCAGCACCAGTTCGCAAACCGGCAGTCAGTGTGCTGGCATCAGGCCAGCCACAGGGAGGCCCTGCCTACAACAGCTAGAGAAG